CCTTCCAGGACCTGAAGGGGGCCTATAGGAAAGAGTTTTTATAAGGGCAAGTAGAGACTGGATGAGGAAAAATGGTTTTAAACTGGAAGAGGGTAGATTTAGACTAGAGATTAGGAAGAAATTCTTTACTGTGAGGGTGGTGAAACACTGGAAAAGGTTGCCAAGTGAAGTTGTGAATGTCCCCTCTCTGGAAGCACTCAACACCAGGCTGGATGGGGCTGTGAACAACCAGATCTAGTGGGAGGTGTCCCTGCCTACAGCAGGGGGTTGGAATTACATGATCTTAAAGGTCCCTTCCAACCCAAACCATTCCATTATTGTTCAAATCTCTGCCTTTTTCCTTCATTTGAATCATATATTACAATATTACAAAGCGCTAGACATAACAGAAATCCCTCAACAACCCTCCATTCATACTGTCTGCCACACCTACTCTCTGTGGGTGCAGGTGTGTGACACCAATTGCACACAAAGCCCTATCTTTTGGGCTGCAGCAACACCCCTCCTCAGGGAGGAATGGGGATATCACAGAATCACGAAATAGCCTGGGTTGAAAAGGACCACAATGATCATCTCATTTCAACCCCCTGCTATGTGCAGAGTCACCAACCAGCAGACCAGGCTGCCCAGAGCCACATCCAACCTGGCCTTGAATGCCTCCAGGGATGGGGCATCCACAACCTCCTTGGGCAACCTGTTCCAGTGTGTCACCACCCTCTGGGTGAAAAACTTCCTCCTGATATCTAACCTAAACCTCCCCTGTCTCACTTTAAGACCATTCCCCCTCATCCTATCACTATCCACCCTCATAAACAGCCGTTCTCCCTCCTGTTTATTTGCTCCCTTCAAGTACTGGGAGGCCACAATGAGGTCTCCCTGGAGCCTTCTCCTCTCCAAGCTAAACAAGCCCAGTTCCCTCAACCTTTCTTCATAGGAGAGGTGCTCCATCATACAAGCATCACACAACCCCACATGTCCATACATGTGATACAAGAGCTCTAATCACAATGCTGTGGTCTTCTGGAGCACAGGCACTCATCAGCCATGGAGCACTTTCCGTTATTTTGCTCTTTTTTGAACAAATCCTGCCACCAGCCCTCAAGCAAATCCTTTTTGGGTAATACCCATTTTCTAGACTGACTCAGCAGCCTGAGCACCTCCATCCCCAGTTCCCATTCCCGGCTTTGCCAGGACCATAGGGGTTTTTTGTTTTATCTATTGTCCTTTGGGTGCCACACAGCTCGAGCAATCTGCACTGAATGAACATGCTTTTACAACCTGCTTATTTCAGATTCAGTAACTCCTAAATAAATAAATAAATAAATAAAAGCTTTCTTCACAAGCAAAAAGCTTAGAGAAAAATTTCCATTGCGGAGAAAAGGATGTATGAGGCAGGACTGGGGTTTCCCAGCCCCGGCTGGCCCTGCAGACTGGACACTCCATCACCCACCTGACTGAGCAATGGAAGGCTTCTGCTGTGGCTGTTAATCAACTCTGTCCTTGTGGAGCTCCAGTTCCTTCTTAATTAGATCAAGTCAGCTCTCCACTGAGATTGCCAGAGTAACGCTGTCCACTTATTATATGCCAAACACTACAAAGCGTCTTTAATTGTGTTTAGAAGTTCAGTGTCTCTCTGAAGTCTCTCCTTACGTAACATGCATTGCTTTGCATGTCAGGCCTTCATCAAAGCCCTCGTAATTCAGCACAGGTTTGGATGTATCTGTGACACCAGAAAGCCCGTGGGTATGCTGAGCTATACCAACGTAGATCCATTCATCCCTTCTCTGTTTCCACTCTCCAATTCACAGTGGAATGGCAGCTCTGGAACACAGCCCTGACTACCTGCATGCCAACGTGAGCACGCTGAAAGTGCCGTTATCACATCTAAGTGGTGTCATACCTTTTACTTTTTCCTCCTTCAAAGCAATTCTGGCTACCTTGAAATCACCGCAAGGCTTTCGGAGGTGTCAGGCTGACCCCAGCTTGGGCATTCACACTGACTGAGCAAGAACAAAATTCAAATTATCACTGCTGCTCCATGATTATAATAGCACTGAATGAGTTTCACTCACAGGACTAAGCTGACATTCTGCTCTTTAACGTCAGACATAAAACTGAGTCAATAGCGTGCCTGACCTTCGAGGAGCTCTAAAAATCTGTTTTCCATGCTTTGAGGAATTCGTCAAATCAACAATTTGGTACAATTTAGATCCACATGGCTGAAAACGTGTTTTTCCATGCCTTCTTTAGGAGGAAGTTTTTCACACAGAGGGTGGTGAGGCACTGGAACAGGTTGCCCAAGGAGGCTGTGGATGCCCCATCCATGGAGGCATTCAAGGCCAGGCTGGATGTGGCTCTGGGCAGCCTGGTCTGATGGTTGGTGACCCTGCACACAGCAGAGGGGTTTAAGCTAAATGATCATTATAGTCTTTTTCAACCCAGGCAATTCTATAATTCTATGATTCCAGGTTTTTCAGAACTTGTTTCAACTTCAGATGTGGCTAACCTGCCGGCAGATGCATGCCACCAGCATTAGCTGGTTACTGCAGCTGAAGTATCAGTCAGCACTAACAACTCAGAATGAGGAGGCACCAGCTGTTCGCTTTAAAGACAGGACGATTGAAGCACTGCTACTTGCTGCAATACATCCCATTTAATTCATACCCACGGACAACAGTACTTGAAAACACCTTCTCTATCACAATGCACTTCCATTCCAGCTCTGCGCTTGGTCAAACGAGACACAGCTCGGTACTCATACAGCTACTTCCTTCTCCTGTCCCAGTGACCCGATCACACTGCACAGAAGCATTTGAAACAATGCCATTTTGAGAAAATCAAAGCACAGTCTGTCCTGGAGGCATGGCCAGCCAGGAATGACGTGCTGTACCCCTGCACACCACCACCACCCAGAATCAGGGGGGAAGGACAGTCAAGCTGCTGTCCAGAGGTGCGAAACGTTGTTTGATGCATGTGTGTGCATCTGCATAAGTGCATGCATGACTGAGGCTCTCTTTGGTGCTGCACAGCCGCATGCACACGCACACAACGTGCCTCCATATGCACGCATACGTGCACACAAACAAAGCAGCATGAATGGTGGGCAGCACGCTCAACGTGAGTCAGCAGTGCGCCCTGGCAGCGATGCGGGTTAACAGCACCCTTGGCTCCATCAGCAGGAGCATGGCCCCATCGTGAGGAGCCATCCCTTCCTTTCACCTCTGTTGGGAACATCACGGGCAACTTTGACACCCCGCAACAGCAAAGACAGAGAGTTCAGCAGGGCTCCCCAGGCACTCAGGTCAGAGGCACTGCTATGGGAGGAGAAGTGTGAGCGCTGGGGCTGCATGCAGAAGGACACAAAGCAGTGGTCCAACTGCAGCAGCAGAGGTTGTGACCTGACCTCAAGGAAAGGCTGATCCCTGTCAGGTCTATCACAGCCTGGGGCAGGGGCACAGGGATGAACCTTTGTCTTCAGGGGGTTTCAGCTCCAAGGAAAAACTGAACCCACTGCTGCTGTGCATGGAGCAGCAGGCTGGGCTGTGCACACCTGCAGTCCCTCCAAGCCAGGATTAACACCATGACACCAACTTGGATTCCAGAGAGTGCTATCACATCCTACTACAATTTCTTGATCAGATCATAACCTTTCAGACCTTCACCAAGGCAGAAAGCACATGGATCGGTTCTCCTCAGAGCACACTGTGTTCCACTAAGGAGCTGCACTGCACTCCAGTACCAAAACTGGAATTTGGACAGATTAGTGAGACACAGAAGCTACTGATAACTGAGGTGTAGAACAAGGGGAGCACAGGGGCAAAACATTCAACTGATATCAGTGGAAAAGGTGGTATTTGGTTGGAGACAGAAAGGATTGCACACTACGTCCACATCAGCTTTTCCTTAAAACGGCAACTGTGTTTTCCTTAAGAATCTCACGTTCAGCACCCTCCATTAACAAACAAGCCCCTCATGCTGGTGTTGAGAGGACCACGGAATAAAAGACTGCGCTGTTCACTCTGTGTACTTCAGATATATACCTTCATATCTGAGGAAAAAAGCACCCTCACTCAACAAACAGAGGCCGTGTCGAAGCTCGCTCAGAAGCCCGGCGTGGGCAGAGCAGGCTGTTTTGTTTTCATCCCTCTGCTGGACGCTACTGCCCCTAGAGCAGCACTACCAAAACAAAGGCTGCTTATTCTGAACTAATTGACTTTGCATCGAAGCAGACAGAGGGCTCTACGGCCCATTCCTGGAGCTGGGGAGGGACGGAACCGCCGGCTCAGATCCCACGGGCTGAGCGAGTGTTCGCCAAGCACAGCACTTGGGTAACTCTGAGAACACCCAGCGTTAAAATAAGTCAAGATTACAACGACGAGCAGAGGTGCTCGCTAACACCTCATCCCCTCCCGTCTTTTAAAGACTTTTTCAGCGACGAAGATTCCACAGCTGCACACAGACAAACCCGGCCGAGAACTTCGGAAGCCCTCGCACAGACGGACGAAGGAGCAGACGCGGAAATCAGGGGGAACGTGTCCGGTGCCACAGCCGGAGCGCCCAGACCACAAGCAGCGGGAGCGATCCCGAGGCGGATCAATGGAGGAAGCGAAGGAGCCAGCCGGGCCCTCCCCCCGGAGCTCCCCAGCGCGCTCCGCAGCAGCGCCGTTACGGCGGCAGCACCGTTACGGCCGCGCCCCGCGCTCGGCCCCGCTCGCAGCACGGGGGGCGGCCGCGGCCTCCCGGGGGCTCCCCGAGGCCCCACCCCCTCTTAGGCCCCGACCGGCGCCGCGCCCCGGGGATGCTGCCGGGGAAAAGCCGCGCCGGCCCGGCCCAGCGTGGGGGCTGCAGCCTCGGCCCCGCTCCCCGCCGCCCCCGGGCCCGCGGGGCGGGGCGCAGCGGGCGGCTCTCCGCCGGTTCGACCCCTCCCCCCCCCAGCACACACACACACACCCCCACCCCGCAGCCTTCCGGCCCGCTCCCGGCGCGGCGTCGGCTCTCACCTCGGCGGGGGGTTGCGGGCCGGGGGGGGGCTGCGGGCCGCGGCGGGGCCCTGGAGCTGGCAGCCGCCCGCCCGCCCGCCTCCGTACCGGCCTCGGCGCTCAACCGCCGCTCGGGAGCCGCATCGCACAGCGTCCGGCCGCGCGCTCCCCCGGGCAGCAACAGGCGCCTCCGCCGCAAAGGTTCCGCGGGGCGCAGAAAGGTTCCCTCTCGGCGCGGGGGACGAAAGGCGGCCCCGGGGAGCCGCGCCTCTGCCCGCGGCCGCAGCCCAGGCTGCCAGGGCCCCTCCGTGCCCTTCGGCACCTCCGGGACGGGGCACCCACAGCTCTGGGCAGCGGTGCCGGCGCCCCACCGCCAACAAAAGCTCCTCGTTCGTATCCGTTGTTCCCCCCCGTCACAAGCCAACCATTTGCTACTCACTGCTGTGAAAAGCAAGTACCCTGTGCAGGACATCGCTGGGGAAGATGAGGGTGAAAAGCGAGCCCTCCCAAAGCGAGGAAATTAACCTAATGGTTCTGGTGCTCAGTGCTTCTTTATCAGCAACATTGACAGTGGAACGACTGCACCCTCAGCACAGCTGTGTGACACCGAGCTGAGTGGCACAGCTGATACAACAGGAGGAAGGGATGCCATCCACAGGGACCTGGACAAACCTGAAGTGGGCACAAGAGAAACTAATGAGGTTCAACAAGGCCAAGGTGCTGCACTTTGGGCTGGGGGCAACCCCAGATGTGAGCACAGAGTGGGAGAAGAACTTGAGAGCAGCCCTGCAGAGAAGGATGTGGGTGTCCTGGTGGACGAGAAGCTGGACACGAGCCAGCAGTGTGCTCTCATTGCCCAGAAGGCCAACAGCATCCCGGGCTGCAGCAACAGAGGGGGACAGCAGGCAGGGAGGGGATTGTTCCACCTCTGCTTTGCCCTCATGAGGCCCCACCTGGAGCACCGCGTCCAGGCCTGGGGGCCCCAGTAAAGGAGGGCTGTGGGGCTGTTGGAGCGGGGCCAGAGGAGGCCACGAAGATGCTCAGCAGGCTGGAGCACCTCTCCTATGGAGACAGGCTGAGGGAGCTGGGGGTGGTCAGCATGGAGGAGAGAAAGCTCCAGGGAGACCCCACTGTGACCTTCCAGTACTTGAGGGGAGCTTACAGGTAGGAGGGAGAGTGACTTCTTACACTGACTGATAGTAAAAGAGAAGAGGGAATGGCTTTAAATTACAAGAAGGGGGATTTAGGTGAGATGTTAGGGGTAAATTTTTTGCTCAGAGAGTGCTGAGGTGCTGGCACTGCTGCCCATCCCTGGAGGTGCCCCAGGCTGTGGAAGAGCCCTGGGCAGCCAGCCCACAGCAGGGGGTTGGAGCTCAATGATCATTAAGGTCCCCTCCAACTTAAGCCATTCTATGATTCTGTGGTTCCCATCAAACTTGACTGGAGGTCAAATCTCTGGTTTTTCCCTGGGCCAGAGGCTGGCTACTGACCACAGGTGAAAGCCTGGTTGGTACAGGAGAGCAGCATGCCTCCTGCCCCTCCTTTACAGACTTTGCTTGAGTGAATACCACTGCCCAGCTGCAGTAGTCTTTACACTGAGCTGGGTGGGCATCCACACATGGGGAAATTCCTCTAGCTGGATGCTTGGGAAGACCAAAGCAGAGGGATGTGGAACACAGCTCCTGTCCCTTCACTAGGCTCCAGCCTGACACAGTTCCTCTAATCGCAGGGTCAACACAGTCCCTCTGGCTCTTGAGAACCCAAGGGGAGATCCATTATGTCCATAAAGCAGATCATTTCCCACCTGACTTCTCATGCCACAGAGGTACACCAACATGTAGGGAATCATGGCAAGTACGAGCAAAACCAAGTCATTTTCTATCTGGGTCCAGCACCCAATGGCACCAGTGCACCCAAGGAACAGTACAAATAGAGCTGATGAATATCCCACAACTTACACTCAGCCCCAGAAGTGCAAGGCAGCCACTATCTCAGTACAGAAAAGGCTATTAGATTTGCAAGCAACAGCTTTATCCTCTGCTCTCTGTAAATGTGTCACTGGCAGTCTGAATTGTGTCCCTATGAGTTACATGTATTAGGAGCTGTTGAGGTCCTCTTCCTGAGGTTTCTACAGCTTAACAGACAGGAAGCATTACTGGTGAGTATCCACTTTCTAATGATCTGCCCCAAATCTCCCCACCTTCCCTTTGTTCTGTTTTGTCCTACAATCACTCTCAATTAATGGTGCAAAAATAAAACAGATGTCATCCAGCCTTCCTAAGCTGCGCATGCATTATTCATTGACATGCCCTAATTGCCTCTCATAACCACAAGCACTTCCGCACTTGGCTATGTCATTCTTGTCCAGCAGAGCCCAATTTATGAAATTTCAAGCTGCTTTGGGAGAGGTGCTCTTAAAGTCCTACCTTTCACAGCCCTTCTGCTCACAGCTCCAAATTAGATCTCAGTACACAGAGGTGACAGGCCCTGCTTTCACATCCACATGAAAGTGTCCATCAAGTACCTCTGCTGCATTGATGCTCAGCATCCTGAAAAGGAGACTTGCCCTACTGTAGGTATTCTCTTCCCACACATCTCCTAAACCTATTTACCATGCCACAGGTGGGAACACTGTTAAAGGTGCCTCAGGAGAATGACATGCCCCCATTAACCCCAGCTTTTCCTTCAGGCTCGGCCAAGGACATACCATGGAACCTTATCTCAGAGAGGAGAGAGTTGAAATTACAGTGGCTCCATTTCATGGACTGGCATCGCAGCTTTCAGCTTGGATTTTACTCTGCACCTCAACAGCCAGCCTGCTGCCTTCTCCTTTCCCCACGAGAAGAAGTAAGAACTAGACACTGGAGAAGAGAAAGCAGGGAGTTTTGTGATAGACAAGTTACAGGTAATCATTACCTGGAACAGTCCAAACTCTGCACACAGGGCTCTGAACTACACCTGTCCAGGGAAGATTCAACAACGCAAGTAAGGAATTTAAGAACAAATGCAATCCCTTCTTAGAAAAGGTCATCCAGCTTTTCCTGGCAATCCACACAGCAGGGAACCTAGCTCAATCAGGGCTCACACTGCTTAGCCACCTCCTACAAGGACCATGAGATCAGCAGTAAACCTCCCTGCAGAACACAGAATGCTCAGACATCCCCTTCACAGGGGCAAAGCTAACACTGCAGCTCCACTTTGCTGCATCAGTGACTTACCTGTGAAAATCCATTAGCAAATTCCCAGCTAGTCCCAAAGAAAAAAAAAAACTGGGAAGTTATGCAATTGCCTTCTTGTTCTGCTTTGCCACAATGAGAGGCAGTAGAGCAACTGAGCATTAAGCAAGCTAAGCATAGCCTTACAAGAAGGTATTACCATATTACTACCTGTATGCTTCTGAATCCAGTCTGAAAAACTAACCCTCTTAGAGGCAGCTCTACTCCTTTTTTAAACCCTCCTTCCCAGCCTGCTGATTACTGCAGGTGCAACAAGGTGAACCAAACACGCCCACCCCCAACCACCCACCCAAAATGCATTGACCCTTTTCAATGGCCCATGTGGTCTTTCTTCATCCCAGGACATTTTGCTCAGTGCAAGAGGAGGTTACAGGGCAAAAAATCACACCTTCACCTTCCTTAGTGGAAAATAAATCCTGTGGCTGGCCAGGACTGCCCTGTTCCCTGCAGTGCTTTGGAAGCTGCAAGGAGAAGGCACCACAGGGTCAGCCTTTATTGCAGATGGTTCTTGGCTTGTCCTTAAGGGAGACTCAACCCAATTTTTACCACTCCAAAGAGACAGGGTGGCCTTATTGTACCACAGGAGCAGCTGGGACACAGAGCTGGGCAAGACTGATGTCTGCTTTGCTTTTGTCTATAGCTAGTTCTGCTTTTTTTTTGGCATTGTTTTAACTTTTTGGTCAAGAGCGCTTGTTAAGAGCCCAGCCCTGCCTGCCCCATGCACTCAGACCTCCTGCCAGCTGCTGCTGCTCTGCCCCGTGTTTGCTCCTCTCTGGGGTTGAGGTTGTTGGATCTTACCCTCAGTTTGTTTGCTGGGGACGACCCTCTGGCTTTAGCACAGAACGTGTGCAGGATGGGTACAGAACAGCCACAAACCATGAACCCTTATTGGGTTCAGTGAAGCCTCTCTGCTATGGTTGCTTCACAACTGCACTTCTGTCAGCAGCAGAATTAGAGATGAAAGTAACTGTACTAATGGCAGAGATTGATGTACTTAAGATCCACAACACATTGTGCTCTACCATCCTGGCATACCCTGTGTTTGGGAAATAGCACAGCAAGCCCTGCCTCCTCAGTGGCCAGTTAGGAGCACTGGAATTGCATACATGAAGGAGATCATCACTAGGCTGCCTGTCTGCATAAAGTGGGAAGCAACATGAACATGTTAACTCATTCCCCTGCATGGCTGGAGTCCGGGCCAGGAGTGACTTTCGTGCTCAAATGCAGCACAACCTGGGCAGCAGGGCTGTGGCAGGGAGGGGAGAAGGACAATGTATTCCATGAGCTGAGCAATTAGTTTTTGAGAGCTGCTGTTTACAGATCAGGAAAGCAGTTAAGGTGATAAGAAACACGCTGGAAGCTCCTTGGGAGCTGTGCAGCATTCCCTTTCAGACACTACCAAAGGATTATGAGCCATCGGACAGTTACTTTTTATTTAATAGTCCAGAGACAGGAACATGTGTTCAGGGAGCGGGACTCAGAACCTTCCCATTCTGCAGCCAAACTGCCCACACCCGTGGTGGTGGATTGTTACGGCTGGCTGAACCTGTAAGCAGCGTGAGGTACAAGGAGGGCACTAAAGAAGAACCACAAAAGGGACAGAAATCAGGAAACGCTCAGAACTGCGTCTGCAGAGTGCTAGAACTCAGCAACCAAATAACTGGAGAGAGGTTCATCCAGACAATCTTGCACATACCTGCCAAGAGCTTCTGTGGCCGCAGCAATCCCGGTGTGCTCGGACAGGGGGTCAGAACTGGACAGGACCTGGGGCTGAGGGCTGCAGCAGGATGCGGCAGCCCTCATTGCTCCTTTGCACTATTGCTTTCTCCACAGGGGTGAAGAGGAGTCGCAGGGAAGGCTTTCCCACTTCCATGGATTCGCAG